ATCCTAATGAAAGTGAGAATTTATATTCTGATCTCAAATTTTTGATTAGGAATTGGATATTATGGGAATTTGTAATGGGAATTTGAATTTTTAGTTTGGACTGATATTTATTGATAGTGGATGGCCATGATAGAAAAAGTCTTTGAATTTGAAAAAATTGGTGAGAAAATGTTCAAAGAAGTATTTTGTTCTTAATTTTTTGACAATTTCTCTGATTTCAGTCTCACTAGTGTTGAGTGGGAAGAAGGAGGCAAACTCTGGATCCAGCAAATCAGGAAAAGGTAACTCTTGAGAGGTGGGAGATCAAAGTAAGATGAGAGGACTTTGAAAGGAACAATAAAAAATCTTTTAAGTTCCCTGATCATATTTTTCAAGTTTTATGGATCTTTTCTTCTTCTAACTGGAAAAAGGTATGTGACTTCTTTGGGTAGGTCTTGAGGGTGGCTGAGGAGATCTGGGAGTAAGATGAAGTATGAATTTAGCAGGAGATCAAACCTATAGAAGAAGTGAAAAGAGCCTGCAACACTTGCTGTGATGCTTCTGTTCAGAATGGGAATCCGGTAAGGGATTTTGACTTTTATTTATGCAGAAATTAGATTAGGTGATAAGAGAAGTTTTGAAAGATTGTTTTAAAATATCTTTTTGCTTTTTTGAAGTAGATTATAATAGTCTAGTTTGTTGTTTTCTTTAGGACAACAAAAAAAGTTACAACCATATTTCATGATTTGTGTTAAGAGATATGAATTGAGATCGAAAATATTGATGTATCTCAAATATGTGATAAAGAGACTGATACTTAAAAGAAACTTAATCTTGGAGTAAACTTCTCTATTGAGTTTAGCAACTTTGTATTTTCCTTTATAGATTTTCTGAAACCAACCATCCAGTTTTTTATATTCTTTCTAGTGGTTTTCTTTAAGTTCATTAGTTTTGCTGAAGTTAAAAAATCCTCTGTCTTTTGCTTCTATTTTAATAAAAATAGCTAGGTGAGATTTTTGTCTAACTTCATCTTTGGGTTGTTGGTTGATATCTAGTAGGAGATTAATTAACTCTACTAGATTATCTCTAATAGTATTAAATTTGGATGCCCAGCTGATAATGCAATGGTGCTCTGTAATGAGCTTTTCAAGAATATATTGATCATTTTTCTCAAGATTAGTATTAATTAATATATTATAATTCTCTATTTTTAAGTATTTCATTATTAGGTCTTTCTCATATGACCAGAGTCTTTTATATGCTGTTTCAAGCCTTCCCTTGTTAGAGTTTTTGCTTGATGGGTTCTCTGGTTTTTGCTGATATTTTGGAGGTTAAGGGTTGGAAAGTATGAGTAAGAAAGAGTGTAAAGTAATGAGAATAGGATTGTAATATTAATTAGGAATGTTAATTAAGTGAGAAATAATTGAGATGTCTAAGAAATAGTTGTCAGGTGTCTTTTCTTTTCTTTGGTGACTATTGGAATTCTCAAAATTTGCACTGGAAATATATATATATTTTTTTTCTTGATAAGTGTAAGTGCTTATAGCATTGTCCATATTTATGTCTTTTGGTATAAGAAAATCTAAGTCAATAGATATTGACTGATCTTTAATATATAAATCTTGAGTAAGTAACTGTAGCTGATTGGTTGGCAAGTTTGATGGATTTAATTGACAGTTTATTAAGTGATATCTGATTTCTGATTGGTTGGATGTTATAGTTGGTTAAGATATTTGATTAGCGATTATATTAATATTTGTTTGACTTGGAGTCCTGTTGTGTAGCTCTGCTAATAAAGCAGTTTTGTTAGAGAAAGAAGTTTGTGAAGATGGTGGCTGGTTTTCTTTTTCTAATTGATATGTTGTTGTAAAGATAAATGTGCTTTCTTTTTTCTTTGTGTTTTTGTTGATTTGAATCATGTTTCATGACACATGTTTTGAGTAATTCCATCCTTTGGTCATTACTTTCTGAAAGACTTCATTTTTCAGTTGACTTTCACTTGTGAAGATTCTCTGAAGTGAGTTGTAAAAGTTTAAGAATTCATCAAGAAGTTGAGAAGGTTTTTCTGTAAGGACTGAAACTTGTGCCAAAAGGTTTTTCAGATTTTTAGAGATTGCAAAATTTAATTTGAAACATGCTTAGATTTATAAAGTCTGGTTTGAAAAAATTGATAATAGGAATGAGCCACTTGGTGGAGTAGTTGTTAAATAAGGAGGTTGTTATCATTCTGAATGGTTCTATAAGAATGACTTCTTTGTTTTCATTTTGATATATTATAGATACATAGTAATAAGTTTTGTCTATGAGAATAATGTTTATGAGAATAACATCTAGAAGAATAATATTATTGTTATTGTTATTTGTATGGGATGCTATGGATGGTGGACAGTATGAGTCACTATTGATAGTTGAGCTTGGTTTTTGATTTTGGTTGGTCATGATTATTTGGGTATAATAAATTGCTAATATGTTTAGTGTTAATATGCTCTTATAGTAACATGTTTGTTGTTATTATTGCTTATGTTTATGAAAGTGTGGCTGTGGTATTAATGTATTAGTTTTTTTGACATATTAGTTATAATATGTGCTTGTTTTGTTGTTGTGTTTGTGTTATTGATATGCTGATATTGTTTACTTGAACTTGTTTTGATTTTGGTTGATGTGGAGATCTTGTTTACTCAGGTTATTTGATTTGTTTTACATATTATAAAAGTAATTGAGATTACAAATATCTTATATATGTAAACAGTCTATTAATTAATGCTAATATTAATTAACACTATTCATTTTTTTTATTAGAATATTAACTTATACTTTATAAATATATCATCTTGGTTTATTCTTAGTAAGGTTTAATCTTAATTTTTTTTTAACATGTTAATTATTACTAAATTTCTTATTATATTTATATTTCAGCTCATATAGCCATAGTATTTATAGATTTACTTCTTTATGTTTCTAGTAAATATTTCAAGAGTTATTTTATAATTAATATACATTATCAAATCTGGAGATCATCAGACCAAGTGAAATACAACTTTTAAATCCTTTAATAGACACTCTATAAGCTCTTGGTTGACTTAAACTATTAAATCTAGAAGTATAAATATTAAGCAGGATACAATTTCTATAAAGTTATTATAGGCTTCATTTATGTATTTGTGTTTTTACAATAATTCTCTTTAAAATTAATTGATTGAATTAATATGCTTCTTATTATAAAGTTTATCATATTAGAAGGGAATATAGGCTTGTAACAGAAATTAGATCAGAAGTCTTTTCTCATGCAACTTTCTTTGCTTCAACCTGTTTTTAACTTATAATTATCAGAAAGATCGGAGTTTCATCTTTATGTAGCCTAATTAAATTTAGAAATTGATTTGTAACTAATTAAATATAACATAAATTGGAAATTAAGCAATTAATTATAAAGGTGGTAAATTTTTGTAACCAGATGTATTTGAATCTTAGATCTTTCTTTGGTAACCTATGAAGCATTATAGATCTATAGGTCTTTTGTTTATTTTTTGTATATATTGTCAAAATTGAAAAATATATATTAAATTATTTATTAGCTTGTAAAAAACTTTTTTTAAAAAAATAAGATATAAAAACAAGTTTAAGATAAATTTTTTAATATTTAAAATTTAGACAAATACTTTTTAATCAATAAAATTTATAAAATTGCAATTTCAAAAAAATTTTTTATAAAATATCAAATTTGTAATATAAGAAAATTTATTAACAAATATAAAATACAAAAATACAAAAATATAATATATTTGAATAAAAAAAATTAAATTAATAAATTTTATTAAAAAAATTATTTATAATAAATAGTACAAAAAAAATGAAACAAGTTTTAAAAAACATCAATATAATAAAAAACAGAAGAAAAAAAATTAACAAACTTATAAAAAAAAAACAAGTAAATAAAAACAACAATATAATATTTTTAAGTATATAAATAAACAATAATGATTTTATAAATAATCTTATAAAGGTACTACAAAAAAAAAATTAAAGAAAATAAAAAATAGTTGAAAATATATGAAATCAAAATTTTTTATAATAAATTATAATGATAAATTACAAGCAATAAATTTAAATTTTAAAATAAAATAAAAAAGTTATTTATTTATTTATTTTTAAAATTATATTTAAAAATTAAATATTAATAATAAACATTTAAATAATAAAACAGTTTATATACAGTATATATGTTTTGATATTGTTACTTTTATTTCAAAAATTAAATAAAAATAATAAATACTTGTTTGATTATGAATATATATATATACTGTATATATACAATATATAGAATGCATTGTCTTTATTATATAGGATATTAAAATTTGTAGATTCATAACACAAATTGACATAGTTATTTGATGCAATTAATTGAATCATTATTAAAACCTACAAATAATTGAGTCATGGTATAATTATTTTTGAGAATTTTGGAATCAAGTCAATAGCAAAATAATTTGTGTCGCATGTATAATTTATTTCAATATGACATCTAAATGCAAGTTAATATAATGTTGCAATATTAATGTTTATTATTATATAATATTTGGACAAATCTTTAGGTAATAATCCAAGATGTCAATTGATGTTTGTAATCGTGTTAGATAAAGCTTAGGTGTCATTTTACTTTTTACTTAATTTATTATCATACAGCTATGCACAAAGATGTATGTGCATATTAACATGCAGGTCACGATAATACCGATTTGCAAAAAGGTAGGATTTTTTTAAGTGCCAACAAGACACATCACTTCGAAAGAAGCGGCACGGACTTAATCTTAATGCAGGACCAATCCCTGACATTAAGAAGACATAGGCCTATAAAAAGTTCCGAAAAGTTTATTATCATCTCTTTGTTTGCAGGCTCCCAATTACATGTAAGCATCACGTGGGTTTTATAAGCACATGGCTGACTAAAATCTGTATACATACGTATATAACGTAAGTTACAAAGCCACGCTTCCACTTTTCCGCAAGAAATTTCATAGTTTTTAATCGAATTCACCAATGAATTCAAACTCATACTTGTATTTTAATATTCCACATTCTCTATAATTATTTATAACTTCATCGTGTTTAGGTGTGACCTCAATTAAGGCGTCGGCTTCGTCATAGCAATCACAAACACATAATGTAAATGATTTTTCCTTTATCTTCCTGATCGATAGAAAAGTTGCCAATGCTTGAGGACCGAAGCTCCACTCGCCTCCTATTCTTAATTTAGAAAAATTTTCCGGAGCCTTGTTTGCCAATAGTTGGAACAAAGGATCACCATCAACCTGTGACCAAATGCCGTATCCGTCTATCGGAAGGCTTCTCAGAGACAGAGCTTCTAGATGAGGGCAAGCACACAGGATGCTTTCTATATCCTTGAAATTTTTTTCGGTGCACCAAGTTGTCAAGCATTGAAGTTTTGGACAAAATTTTGGGATGATGTCATTGTTAAATTTTCGCACAATTTCCTCCTTTGGAATATCCCATCCATACAAGGAAACAACCTTAAGGTTTCCTCCGGTTCTTCGAATTAGTCTTTGTATCATCTCCAATGGGGCAAGATTCCCACCCATTCTTAGAACCTCTAGTTGCGGAAAGGCGTTGAACTCCAAATTCTCCAATATCTCCTTGTTAATATTACCAGAGAAATGGAGATCGAGTATTTTTAAATTATCAAACTCTGAAATCGCGGCCGCTGGAATGTTCATGTAATCACCTCTTAGGCTTAAATGAACCAAAGAATCCGTGCATGATCGTAGAGCACGTTCGATACTTGGACAGGGTTTTTGACCGCAGATCTCTGTGCGTGTGTGAAACTCCAATCGTTGCAAATTACACTGTACTTCGATCAGGGTAGCCAGACCATCGTTATCTATCGGGGTATGCATGCAAACCAAGGTCTCTAGATTTCTGCAAATTTGTGCCATTCGGTAGAACATCCATGGTGGAGTCGAAGAATTGCAGTGTAATTTGCGAAGTTTCGAAAAGCAAATTTCGGCACCGGGAAAGTAAGGCAATGGTAAATCAAATTGCGTGGATTCGGAGATGTCCAGAAAATCAATCGTTGGACAATGACTGACAAACACCTTGAAGAGCTCTTGCTTGATCAAATGCTTGTTGTATAAATTCCTTGAACCACCGATTTGACGTTGACCAATGGCAGTGTTGATAATGGTCAATACATCACCATAGGAGAGCGACCGACAAAATCCGGGATAATCGAATAATGGCGGATGAGTGGTCGGAGATGTTATTATGATTCCATGATCTGAGAGCGTCCTTTTCGATCCCTCCGGAAGACAGGATATCCAGGTTCGAAACAGGGAACCTATCGTTTGGTCACCGGCTAGCCGTAGATTTACAGTCTTTCTCCAAAATAAGGGGGCGGCAACTTCGCACCAAAGTCGGTTGACAAGTATGCAAGAGTGCAGGGTGAACATGTCATCCTGAAAGATTTCGAAAATTTCTCGGAGGCAATCAGCAGGAAGTGGTGAAGTCATGACTATATGAAATATATATATATATATATTTACTATAAAGCAGGAAAGAAAAGAGAAACAGTTTTGATAATAAAAACAGGCCACATGAAATCCAAATAAGTTAAGATTTGTTAATTGCAGTAGCACAAATGGTGATTTATTACATTTTTGTCTTTTTGCCATAGCCAACATGATAAAATTTTTTTGTAGGAAATTGAAAACAAGTTAATTATTCATAGATCTCTGGTGGCATGATCTTATTATAATCTTGGTAATAAACTACATGATGTGCTTGGCTTGTATATATAATGGAAGATATACATGCAAGGTAATTATAAGAACATTCTTTTTTCCTCTTGCTTTTTCCTCAGATATAAATAGTAAGGACAAGACGTGTAGGTCTGGAAGTTATCTAATCATTTTTCGTTTGAGGAAAAGTGAAGTTGAAGGTCGCAGTCCTCTAATCACAGAGAACTATCCTAGATTTTTAATATAAAGGATTATCCGAGTTCTATAGTAATAAATGTGTAATGTGTTTTCCAACGCTCACCTTTGAACGACTACAACTCGCTTTGAATACAAAACGAATGGTTGAAAAAGGAAAGCTGCTTGAAAATAGAAGGCAAGATACTTAGTAAAGCTTGAGGTGATGCTCAAAAGAACAACCGGTCATAGTTTAAGGCCACCTCGAACAATACAAGGCACAAAGCAATCTGTTCGTCTGTTTTTGTATTTGTTTTTTTTTTTTTTTTTTTTTGAACTATTATTCAATTGTGTTTATCGGATCCGTTCGTGTGGCTTATTAACAGCGCCATATCCTAAAAAGGAAGTCAATGGTAATGTAAAAACTACTCACAGCAACGAGATTAATCAAAGAAAAGTTGGATGAGTCCTTTTTTGATTTACAAATTTGAAAAGACTTTGTGAAAATGATTGAATTATTTATGCAAATTATTGTGACACAACACGTGGTACGAGCATTCGGATTGTTGCACCGATTGACATCGTATGATAAAAAGCAAAAGGTATCATCCTCTTTTCTTTTCCTTTCCTTCCTTCCTTTTACCACGCAGTGATATTTCGCTGGATTATGGATTTGTACGTGTTGATTTGACTAGAAATTTGATGAGTGCGTCTGTCATAGCCTGTGCGTCTTTATTTTCCGATAAGAGGGGATACTGTAACAATAAAGCTAACATTAAAAAATCATGTGACGGTCAATCCGTGCATCAGGCAATGATGATTTACTATAGATGGTAGTTAGTGGGCATTAAATGTTGATGATGCCATAATTTATCATTTTATCGAATTCTTTAATGGTCAAATTAAATTAAATTTGGAGTTACCGCCTGAACTTCCACTTTTGACACTGATTATCAGGATTTCAAGATCTTTCGGGTCATCATCAAATCCAAAGTCTGTATTTTCGGTGTGATATGGCGTAAAAAATTGCGGCTTACCAAGTTTCTTCGTTCGAGCGTCCATAGTATTAATAGCTTGCTATTAGTATAATGAAATTTTTGGTAAGTTAGCCGTACAAAATAATAAAATTACCTTCGGTACGTACTGTATATACCGTATATACCGTATGTACTTACAGAAGCTTTAAAAATTTTAAACAACGCATTTTTGATTGGAGCATTGATAAATCTGTTTCGCTCCTTGTGTCTTCACTTTATTTCTTTCTTGATCTTTCCTCTCTCACCACTGAATACGTAATTAAGTTACGGTGCGATCATCGTGAAACAAGTATTTATTGTCGGCATTGAAGCTCGGAGATCCACATGAAACGATGACCGAAATTAACGAATCAGCGTGCAACACACGAATAGTCGCTATTCTGCACGCGTTCGCAAATCCGAATGGTGCTGATGTATGTGTTCACCTAATTAACGAAGATCTATTTTTACATAAACGTCATTAATACGAGCATCTTTTCGGTGATCCAATAAAAAACCCAAAAACGAAAATCTATTTTTAAATCTTTGATGCACAAGGATTCATTCCTTGCGAATGAATAAATAATCCATTGTTTGGTTTCAATATGTCCTTATTCATGAGATAGACCGATGTCCTACTTTAAATAAGGATCCAATAATTGGTTTTGATTTTGCAAAGACTTTCTCCGTCCCATGAATATTCTCCGATTTTATTTGTTTATTTTTAAAAAAAAACGACTCTCCTTACACTAATGAAAACCATTACTTGTGCAGAAAGATCAAAGAGAGTCAGGCATGTTAGAAATGTATGTCATCAAACATGTTCGGTCACGATTTTGCTTGCAGTTACCCTGCATTGACATAATGCAATCTCCACACACCAACCATACAAGATGATACTTTTTCGACGGGAACTATACGTACCGAGTTATTAACTGCATCCTATTGAGTTATGCAAAGAACATCATCTTAGGTCCCCACGCGATTTGTTCCGATCCAATGACGTAACAATAGTAACTTTTGATTGGTGTAATCGAAGTTCCAAATTTTCCCGAAAATACAATTATAACAATTATAAAAATCTTAATAACAAACATAGTTATATGTCTATCGATTCATAGCATTCAACCAAACACACGCACGTACGTAAATAGCATTCACAATAAGAAGATATGTTGCCGAGCTACAGGTGCATGCGCGCGCTTTGATTATATAAAAAATCACTCCGGTAAAACTTATCTCGAATCGGTGTGCATCCGAATACTTTGATTCGTCCTCTTAATTGAAAAGAACTATTTATTTTCAAACAATTCATTAATGCTTCATTCACCCTCGGTTATGGTCATGATTTAACTAAGTAGTGAGTTATCTTCGAGAGCACTTCTCTTCTCACCATCACTGGAGGAAATTCATTTGATTCTTTCGATCGATTTTTAATGGTGCAAAACAAAATCCAATTGATTATTATTACTATTATTTTCTGTGTTGCCTTTGCCTTTCGCCATACAACTCCCAAAAATAAAAATTTATGTTAATGAACTTTAATGTTATACACTTTAATTTGCTTGTTAATTAATTTGAAATTTCTATAAAAACGCACTGAAGAGATAAAAAATTGTTTCTCTGGTCAAAAGCGAGCCCAAATTTCCCTGTATTCCATTACGAGAGTAAAGCTTCTGTCACCTACCTCCACCTGCTTGTCTACCTATCCTTTGATCGCTTAATTGGGTGACAAGACAAAAATGAATAACAACGACGATTTGCATTATGTCGACTCGACAGACGCCAACGAAAATATACTTGACACTTTTCGTTACATCGGAGGAAGGAGATTTCATAACGTGATGGATTCGAAATACTTTTTGCCAAACGATATCGGAGAAGTGGATCGCTTAGAAGGTCAGCACTACCTTTATCGTCACATTTGGCAGGGAAACTTTTCTGCTCCGGTTCATCAAACGCTGAGAAAAAATGGCGCCTGTGTTTTGGACGTTGGGTAAGTTCGAATAATTCCGTTAACATGCGTTACGCCCGTTCTGACTCGAACTTCTTTGTCGTGTTTCAAAGTTGCGGTCCAGGTACATGGGTCGTTGAAATGGCATATGATTTTCCTTCGGCAATATTCGTTGGACTAGACATTTCGCCGATATTCCCTTCTGATCAGAAAAAACCACCGAATGCCACCTTTCTCCAATTGAATATACTAGATGGCCTTCCTTTCCCGGTAAATTTTACTGCCTTCCCATTTACCTTGACATTTGTAGATTCTTCTACTTACCGATGATTATTGTTTATCAGGATGACACGTTTGATTTTATCTACCAACGTTTTCTCGCGTCGGCCATCGAAGAATCACAGTGGAAGTACGAAGTAATTTCCGAACTCGTCAGAGTAACCAAACCCGGCGGTTGGATAGAAATAATGTACGTGAAACTTAATGTTTATTGTGTTGTACAGAATTACCCTAATTTACACATATACTTTTATTATAGGGAAGTTGGCACTGTTGTCACCGATAACATTCAAACGCCAATCTTTCATCAGGTTAACTGTGCACGTAAGTTCTTAAATATAAAATGAAATTTTGCGTGCTATTCTTCTTTATTCATCAATCACTCTTTTGATTATTTTCAATAGTCTTGAATTTCCTTGCCAGTCGCGACATCAACGGACTAATCAGTTCAAAACTTGGAAATATCATGGCCGAAATTCATCAACTTGCAAATATTCAATGCGAAGTACGCGAGACTCCTGTCGGTCAATGGGGTGGAAGACTTGGAGAAATGGTAATTTATCATCTCCTTCTTACTTTTTCTTTTCCCTCGTTTCTAACTTCTTTTCTTTTTTCTGCAGATGTGCACCGATATTTTAGGTGTTTTTATGGCCAGCAAACTTGCTTTATCACAATTCATGGGTATTAGTCACGAGAAGTTTGATGTCATGGCACAAAAAATGCGTTCAGAAATCGATTCGTGTAAACTTTGTGTTAAAACTTATAGGTAAAGACAATATGCGTATGATTTCTCATTTACAGTGCATGTTAACCCTTGCTCATTGAACCCTTTGACTGTTTTTTAGGTTCTATGCCCAAAAAGTATAATAAATTAAGATTCCCTCAAAATATGAAAAATACTATGCTAACGATGTAATTGCTATGTATAAATCATCAATTAAATGAAAATGAGACGTAAATATTACTTGGAAAAAAAAACTAAAATCATGCCAATCATCTAAGAAACCAAAAAGCGCTTTGTAAATTCACTTATTTGTATACGTATACATTCTACTTTTTTTCTTTTTCCTTAACGCGCGCGTATATTATTATCTTTTTTTTATACTGTATATCGAATAAAAAACATATTTAGATTATCGTCCTACAAACATTACATGTCATCGGATTCTGGTTTAACGTTGAATCGAATACCTCGAACTATAGAGTTTCTACATTAGTCGAGTGCTTAGAAACGCATATTCGCTTATACGATCGACACGCTACTTTTATACGTTTTGTACTTCTGTTGTGCATAAAAAATTATTGCAAAAATAAATTTCTAATATTTTGTAAATTTAAAAATTGTATTTTTAATTCAATATGTTCTATAATAATTTATTATATTTTAAACAATTATTAAATTATAATCTCTATTTTTAACTAATAAGTTGAAAGTTTATAATAGTTTTATAAAATATTTTACCTTAGCATTTGATTAATAAATTCAAGATTTCAAAAAATATTATTAAATTTAAATGCAAAAATTTTATTGAAAAATAGTTCAAACCCTTTAATAACTATGTTCTAAATATTATATATACTATTTAAACTTAATACATTACTTATTTATTGAAAATTTATTTAATGTTTAATTATTTAATTATTTAAAATTCAAGTTTGATAGATATTTAATTAATTATTTAAAATTCAAGTTTGATATTATTTAAAATAAAAATAATTAAAAATCATTAAATTATCAATAAATCATTAATTTTTCTATTGATTCCAGTTTAATATTTTAATGAATATGAAATAATAAATCTAAATCTAAATTTTATTAAAATATTTATTTAAATTAAAAAAAAATTTTTATATTGTTTTTTTTATGAATTTAAAAAATAAATATTTTTAAAAGATTTGATATTCTTATTATAATAAAGTTTAAATAATTTTTTTTAAATTTTCAAAAAAATAATTAATTAAAATTACAAATAGATTAATTATAACAAATATAAAAATAAATAATATTTTATATATATTTTTGTTATCTAATATTACATTAACAATAAACTTAATTCTTCAAAAAGTTAAATAATTTATAATTATAAAAATAATTAAAAAACAATAATTAAAATTAAAATTAAAGTTATAAATAAATAAAATAATTAATGCAAAATTTAAACTATATTTTAATTTGATATCAAACTAAAATATTATTATTTATTTTAAAAAAATATAACTTGAAAAAAATTGTTAATAAATATTAATTAAAAAATTTTAACAAAAATCAAATAATTTAATTTGCTATTTAAAATAAAAAATAATTATGTATATTAATAATTATAAAAAATATTAAATTTTATTTAATTAAACAATAATTTTTTTAAAAATAAATAAAACAAAAAATAATTCATTTTATTTTTTTTTATTGATAAGTAAGATATTTCTTATAATCTTTATTAATAAAATAAAATTTGTTATATAATTAATATCAAAATATTGAAATATATCATTATATATATTAGCCTATTACTATATTAATTATATTTTTAATAAAAAATTTTGAGTAAAAAAAAAAAGTAACTATCTAATCTTAAAGAGATAATACTTTTTTAATAATTTGTTTTATTCTAAAAAGTATAAAAATTTTGAAAAAAAAGTTTAAGAATTATATTGATTATTTTGGTTTATTAAAATAATTTGTTATTATTTGTTAAATTAATGTTTGATTTGTATAGATATTGTAAAGATTTTTTATTAATATTGTTTTTTTTATATTTAATATTTTGTAAAATGTCAAGAAATTTTTCTCTTCAATTATATATTTATTTCTTAAAATTCAAATATATTGATTTATAAGTTTAAAGGTTTTAGATTTTGTTAAGTTGATTTAAGATTGTTAAGCAGATTTTTAAGTTAAAATATATCAATTATAAAATTGATTAAATAGATTGAAAAGTTAATTGTTTTTAAATTTTTTGTTAAGTTAAATTTGAATATCAGTTAAAATTTTTTTAATTGTAAATAGAATTTGTTTGCAAAGTCAAAAGTAATAAATAGTTATTAAAATAGTATTGCAACATAAGCAAATATTATTTGTATAGTAT